AGCAGGGAGCTGTATGGGAAGTGGAGCAGCAGGGACTCAAGCGGCTCCTGTGTGGGATGATGGCAATCACTGGCGGCTTAACTGGCTATGCTACAGTAAGTTTCTGTACTTTAACAATTATCTCTCTTCCAAATTAAGCTTTTAAAGAATAACCTTTCTGGAAATGAAGATAATAACGGGTTATAACCGTTACTGGGTTGTTTGTGACCCCTAGGTTGTATTTTGAAGTCATGACCCTCAAATAGGAATATGCTTAACATAGGGCAGTTAGGATATAACCACGGTTATATGAGGTCATGGCGGGGACGGAGAGGGGTCCTCGCTCCTGCCAAGCTAGTGCCCCTCTAAGAAGGGACATTAGAGAGCTCGTTCTCTCACCACTGTCCCCTCACAATGTGAGACAGCCCTTACCAGAAGCCAAACCTGGCTGGGGTCTTGGGACTTTTTTTTTTAATTCTGTAAGAGAATAAATTTCTGTTGTTAAGCTGCCTAGCTTATGGTAGTTTGTTATGGCAGCTGTAGCTAACTAATACAGTAACCCACGGAGTAACAAAAAATCAGTTCAATTTCCAAAAATACAAATATGTACATAGAGACGAGCAGGCTCTTCCTGACTGTGGAATTCCAACTAATAAATGGATCAGGAATTATAAAATTTGGTAAAGCAGTGATGTACAAATACCACAGTGATAACTTTCTGTTTAAGCATCAGCACTGGATGCTAAAATTAGTGAGCAAAAGTATGGTGAGAAATAGGATATTTACATAATCCCCAAGCAGAGCCCCAAAAGGCACTTAAGAACAAAGGGAAAAATAGCTGCTTTACGTTGGAAAAAACTGATATTACCATAAGAAGTGACCAAAGTTAGCGGTATCAGTAGCGGGCCCTGGGCATCTGTGCCTTCCACTGTGATGCACGGAGGACCAGAATGCAATCATTAAGAAGCAGATCCTGGTTGAAACCTAGTCTACCAAACAACTTGTCTTGTTTCATGAAAGATGTGAAGGTCGTGAGTGACAAAGACAGGCAGTGTTCTAGACTAAAGGAGACGAAGGGGACGACCAACGCACATGTGATCCCGGACCAGAGAGGAGACAACAGTGGGACAATCGGGGAATCGTTAAATACGAGCTGCAGATTATGTAATAGTAGTGTAACTGCACGTTATGTAAGGTTATGGAAGAAGTTAATATCTGGGGGAAGGGTATACCAAGCTTTTTCTACAATTTTTTTTTGCAACACTTTTATAGGCCCCAGATTATTTCAAGGTGAAGAGAGAAAACAAACACTGAAATGGGATTTTTAGTACAGTACCTACACCACCATTTCTGCCCCGAACAATCTGCACCGTGCTTACTAAAGTTAACAACCCGACCTGGGCTGGATTTGCAGTTCTCACACCACCGAATGCATCTCACATACAGGCCCCTAGAATCCTGCTCTCACGCCCCACAGGGAATAGCAGTGATCATCTGTCCCACCCCATGAGCAAACAGCACGTGGCTCATGTGGAGGAGCCACACCGGCACCCTCAGCACGGAGCTCTGTGCCCAGCTCAGTGCTCAGTGACCCAAGGAATCCCAGGGGCTTATTTTGAAATAAAAACTACGGGATAAAGGCATGGGGCATAGGACATAAAATATTCTTGATTGTGCTACCTTATCAAGTTTCAGGAATAGTTTTCTGCTAGGAGGGGAAACAAACAAACAAAAACTAGCCTTACTTTTGGAAAATACAGTTTCAAAACTTTGTTTTATATCCTCTTGGCTTTTCTATTTGTGAGGCACCTTTCCATCCTCAGCCAGCACTCGCCAATTCTAAAAACGGATAGTCACAGCACACCACCAAAGCTAACATTGATTTAGGGTTTACTACGCATCAGGCAATCTGCTAATTGCTTTACAGTCTCTCTTAGGTAATCATCTGAACAACCCTGGGACAAGGACAAGCCGTATACCCCACCCCTTCACAGTCAAAGAGAACTTGGGCTGAGAGCGTGGTTCAAGGTCGTAGCGAGCTGCCTGTGGTACAGGCTGGGTCCAGGGCTGATCAGTGCAACTCCAGAACCTGGGCTCTCAGCCACGGCTCTAAACTGCCTCTTGTTTTATATACACATAAATAAATGAAAAGGACATCAATTTTAAAAAGAAAAAAGAACCTGCTCAGCGACTTAAAGCAGCCAGAGGAAAACTGCCTGAAGGCTAGATGGCATCCAGATAAAAGAGTCAAGGTAAAAATGCGCTTATCTGCCTTGGGAGTCTGGACACAATTCTCTGCCTCTTTTATTTCACCCACTCACCCACAGCAAAAATTCCTCAGTGAGACGAGTCTTGGCTTAGCCTCAGTTGCTAGAAAAGGGGAAGATAGGATACTGTGCTCATCACTTAGGAAAGGCTGGGGCTTTGAGCGCTGCCTGGAGCTGGATGTGAGTCCACCAGCAGGGAGGAGGTACCAGGCGGCAGAACCAGCACAGGGGTCAGCATGGAGTCCTTCCCAAGTGGACCAATGCTCCCTAATGCTGCACTCGCAAGCTGTTGGTCACGCTCTCTGAAAATACTTCCCGTGACTGGTAGCCGCGGGAGAGAGACAACAAGTGCTAACCACTTCAGTGTGGCATTGTTCTCTCAGACCTTTGCCCCGGTGTGGGGACAACTGGGCCCAAGCAAACGAAAGACCAGGCAAGTGGGAGTCCACGTGCAGAGACGCTGACTGGGGTCTTTTCATGGCATCTCAGAAGCGGTGCCCGAAGCATGGTCTCCCAAGCCCACAACAGTGCCTGGTGCATGGCGACTGCGCCATGCTGTCACTGCCGTCACTGCCCCCTGGTGCTGCTCTGGAGTAGACAGACACCTGATAAATCCATGCTGACTTTTATGGAAAACGAAATGTGGTTAAATCAAAATGTGACTATGTGATCCGGCGTCATTTTGAGCATGCCGCTAAACTCAAAAGCCGCAGCTGATACTCCTCAGAGCAGATGCCCTACCACCCCAGCACCTGTAAAATCAGAGCACAGATCCAGGGGCTTGGCCAGGGAGGCTGCACAGCAACGGGACACATCCAGGAGTGGCTCTGTCTGGTCCCTTTCATTACTGCTGGCAAGTCAACACCTCCCATGTGACACAGGTTCTGCCACAGGAAACGTGTCTTCATCTGGTGTAGCGCCTTCCTTTCCTACAGTACTGGTTTCAAGTTCATTTCCTTAGTGGTTACAGGTTTGGGGGAACATTTAGACACTTGCTGGCAATGTTGTTCAAACAACTTTAGAATGTTGTATCCTTTTTTTTTTTTTTAAGCTCTTTGGAGCAATAGTATACCACATTCTGCACATACATATTATTTCTAACTTGCCTGAGGTTACTGCTAACCTCATTTGTTTATTGTAATCAAGTAGCAACTTTTTAATGTCCATATGCATTTATTCATTTTTAATGAGTTAGTAATTTATTTGAAAGGTAGTGAGACAGAGAGAGAGAGAGAAAGAGATCTTCTATCCACTGGTTCACTCCCCAAATGGCTGCCATGACTGGGGCCGGGCCAAGCTGAAGCCAGAATCCTAGAACTCCATCCAGGTCTCCCACATGGGTGGCAGGGGCCCAAGTACTCAGGCCATCTTCTGCTATCCAAGGCACAGTAGCAGGGAGCTAGATGATAAACGGAGAAACCAGAACACAGTACGGCATCTCAGGTGACACTTAACCCATTCAGAAAATCGATTAAAAGGTGATTATAAAAGGAGATTGCTTTCAAGAAAGGATCCACCTAAGGACTCCTTTCCAAGATCCACCTTGCACTCTGTCTTCTGCTGCAGAGGTGAAAGGTGTTCCAAGAGCACACGTTCTCCTGATACATGGGAAAGCCACTTACAAGGCAGCGCACGCAACACCTGCCCGCAACAAAAATTCATCTCCAATGTCACCAAATATTCACTGACCTTCTACTCAGCTGGAAAACGTTCTCCTTAAGAGTCCAGTTTCATCTTTTTACAAACATTTCATGGTTTAGGTCCCCAAAGAGAATCTCCCAATTTGTGTAATCTGGGACTGCTCAGGAAATAATTACTGCTCTTTAACTGGGACTGTACAGATATAATCATCTATGTGCCCACATTCTTCAGAGATCTATGTTGCGGGGGGGACGGTGATGAGGGGAGGCATGACTGAGTGGCAGAAACAGTAAGGGGAGAAGGTGTGGTTTTAGGCAGGCAGGGCTGAGCAGGCCGGGCACAGGGGATTCAGCTAGTGAAGCTACTCTCTGCGCCACCACAGAGTACGAGTATACTCTGAGTATGAGTATACCACAGGGTATGAGTCACAACACATCTATCAAAACCCCTAGCATGTGTAACACGGAGAGAATCAAAAGGAAATTGTGGGTTTTGGTCGCTGTGACACATCAATGCCAATCCTCCGAAGAAACCACTGTCTCCACACTGGCATGGCCGGGCAAGTCACTGGTAGGACACGGCAGGCTGAGTGTGGGTTGGCAAGGGCAGGGGGAACCTAAAACTTTACTAAAAATTAAAATCTATTACAGGAAAAGGAAAAGGGCTAGGAGGGTGAAACGCCAAAATGGCATTGAGAAGAAAGAGGCTGTTACTGAGTTTGTCTGAGGAGGAAATGCAAGAGCCACACCTGAGAATTGCGGAGAAGAGCTTGGGTTGCAGGGTTTAGAGAACAAGTCATTGACCATAGGAACTCACAGCCGGGGGGGTTCAGGCCGGGAAGGCTGGGGGGGATGCCCGATCTGTGGGTGTCAAGGAGTGGTGGGTTTTGAGCCAGAGGGTTCTATGAAGTCACAGGATGAGGACCTATAAGGAGTTCAGCTCACAGTGTGTGGAATGGAGTTGGGGCAAGGATGAGGACCATAGGCAGGAAATCAGAATGCTGGCCCAAGTGCCACCAGGCACAGGATGTGCAGGGCTTGGGGGAGGGGCTCAGAAGAGGGGAAGGAAAGGGGAGAGGTGGGGTTTGAGCCTTTGAGACTGGGAGAACATTACCTAAAACAGGAAATGCAAAGAGGTCTTCTAGTGTATAGAAGAGGCATTACTTTGGAAGGTGCACGATTTCTCATGTAGAGATGCCTAACAGGCAATTACAAGGACCGTTCTGAGGCTAAAAATTCATTGAGAAGAAACCAGCAAACAGATTTTAGTTTAAGCTTCCAGAGGAGCTGCAGCCAAGGAACTGACAGCATCACAGAGGATTCACCGTGGAAACGGACAATGCCATCATGTTCAGGAAGACGACTCCACAGAGAAGTCTGCAAAGGAGCTCCTAGAGGAAGAAGAACCAATAGGAAGAGGAAAGGTTCTTTCCTGATCCAGCTCAGGGAAGTACAGACAACTACCTTCACCATCACAAGTCATTGATTCTGGGACCCCTTCTCTGCTCCCCACCTCTCAGTGCAGAGACACAGACACTGTTAAGCAAAAACCACACTCTTACCTATCTGAAAGTTTATAACCTAGGTCAGGAAATACAGACATGTACTTTGAAGTCTGAAGTACGTGGTTGCTTGCCTATTAACAGTGCAGTGAATCCCGCCTCCTGGTGTCTACAACGCTACGGAGCCCCCAACCATGCAGACTCTGTCTTGGCCATGAAACCTAACTCTTGTCCACAGGGACATCAGCAGACTACACGGTAAGCACAAGCTTGACAAGCAGGTGACCCTGGCCTTGTCCTTCTGGAATGCTGCTACCGTCGCCTCAGCTGACCCACAAGACGTGTGAGGGGAGCACTCTGGGTCACACAGCTCCAGTGGATCCCTCAGGTGACTGCAGCCACATGAGTGAGACCAGAAGTACTGCCCAGAGCCTACCCCAAACTGCAGGAGCGTCAGCAAATAAAGAGTTGTTTTAAAGCCACTAGGTTTAAGGGTTATTTATTAGACAGCAATTAAATAGCTGCCATAGGACATTTTGAAGGTGGGGAGCAAAGTATACATATATGGGCGGAAAACAGGTAAATTGGGATGGAAGTAGTAGGTTTGGGGTGGATTACAACAAGCACGTGTCACTTAAGGGATACGTTCTGAGAATTTTGTCGCTATGTGTGAGCCTCTCACTCAAGGTAGACTTTTGATGCAATCAAGAGACTCGGCAAACAGGCACTGCACGAAGCTGCCGATGGTGTAACACAGCATAAGCACACTTCGTTTCATTTGCAAGTAGAAGGAGTTAAGCACACTCTAAAATTATAAAACAAAGTACAATGCAGTAAGTACATGCGCAAACCAGTAAAACAGTCACTTTGGTATCAAGGATTATCTACTGCTCCCAACTGTATGTGCTGTACTTTTATATGACTGGCAGTTCAGGGGGTCTGTTTACAGCAGCATCATCAGACATGTGAGTCATCCACTGTGCCGTGATGTCACTAGGTGATTGGGATCTTTTTTAGCTCTATTATAATGTTATGGCAACACCGTCATCACTAACCAAAACATTGCTATATGCTTGTATATCCATAGAGCATATGGTGAGATTTAAAAAGCTACAGAAGATTGAAACTGGTCTGTGCCTTGAAACCTGGGTTGGAATCTCTGGTTCTAAGTACCTTTTCCAGTTGGTTGTTTTTAAACTGTTGTCATATCCTCACTTGTCGATTGTACCCACAATGACCTACAGATCCAGATTCTAGGATTTAAATGCAGAAAGGACCTAGAGATGACCAGAAATGAGGAAACTAGGTTAAAACCAAAGAACTGGCTCATCCTGAAGTTACACAAATAATGGCTTTCAGCATCAAGTACCCAGTCCAGGCTGGCCACTGTTCAGCCCAGCGTGCTCCAGGTGCCATGAACCTGTCTGCCCACAGCCATGCACGACTCTATTCATAGACCCACTCCTCTCCAGAGAGCCAGCCCTTATGCCCTGGTGCACCTGGGAATTTGTTCTTTTGTTGTCTGCGCAGTGAGGCTCAACAGCTGGGTGGAATCACCCAGGTGGGGAAGCCACCAGAGCAGGACCAGGAGTGTGAGGTGCACTGGTTAAAAGGTCACAGAAGCTATACTTTCCAGACAAAACCAGGACTCACACCCATCACCACCCAAGAAGCTTGGGGCACAAAGGGCGTGCTGCCGTCAAATCCCACAAAACATGCTTGATCTACCTTTAGTCTTGCTGCTCGGCGTGCTGCAGATCGTACAGTTCTCGCTTACTAAAAGGACCTCACAAGTATACTCTGAAACAGGCATTTTCTGACTCAGAATAATTTTGGATGGATAATTTGATCCTGTAATGGATCCATAAATGAATCACATCTTGGTAAAATCTGCCCTTTGGAGATCCCCCACCCTGTAATCTGATCGGCTTATTCTCCCATCACCCCCCTTTTTGAATGGTCCCCCAGGACCAAAAACTACAGAGGAATTTGCACTAATGATTCCCAACGGGGCTCCAGGAAGGTCGCATTCTGGATGATAATCTGCAATTTGAAGCAGGTTTCATCTTCCTCGTTGACTATACTTGCTAAGAATGAATGACTATAATTAAAATAGAAAGCATTAGGTTTTGATTAAAAAACACCCTACGTAATATAAAATTAAAATTAGGGACATTAAAAGCACATCACATTAAATGAACTCCACTCCTCGCTACCACGCTGTCCCCTTTCTTTGAACAATCTCTTCTTGACGTCTCCCTGTTAGGTTTCTATGTACAGATGGCCATATCCTTTGATTAATTTGACCTAAATTTATGGCCTCTCTCAATGACTCTTCTCCTCCCCTCTCCACAGAATCAGTCTTGCCAACTTCCTGCTTTCAATTATTCATCACGTATGCCTTACAGTGTTTCTACGTAAATCAAGGATGAAATGTACAGGAAGGGACTGAAGAGGGCACCACACCGACTCAAGTTCCTCCCTCTCTGGGAAGCCTACTTTCTCTTGAGCCCATCTAGACAGTTTTCAAAATAATTGGAAATTATTACCATTCCTCTAGGAAACAGGGATTAATTTTAAAAGGGAGAGAGAAAAAAAACCACTTCTCTATTTTACTTCTATGTTCAATTGAAAGGAATTCTCTGACACTTTTTGAGGGGGCTTTTTGGTTTTTGTGTTACAAGAAGTTAGGTGGGACCTAGAAACACAATGGAGGACAAAGTCTAAAAATCATGGTACCTTGGAATATTTAATAGTTTCTCTGAAAGATTGCAAAATAAAATACATAAGACTCTTTCTAGTAACCATGTTTTTTCAGCATCACAGATCTCCAGGACTTGTTTTTTGCAAAATGTTTTTAAGTATTTTTGTCAGCACGGCCCTGAGGTTGGCTTAACAGGGCCACAGTGAAGGCAAAAGGAATATTCGGAGTCCACAACCATAGCACCAGCCCCTACCTTCAACCTGGGGTGGCAAAATCCAAGCAACTCGATTATCCTGAAGGAAAAATGAGCCTCGTAGCCAGACACGTAGGGGGCGGTGTTTGTGAAAGGAACCCTCAGTACAAACCTTCAGACAAACCAAAGACACTGAAGAAAAGCTTAGAGCGCGTCAGTTGAGCAATAAGATATAGATGAAGTCCAAGGAAGCCAAGAAGGACTACCACAAGCACATTTAGGTAATGGTCAGTCTTGCCCACACATGTAATAAAACCAAAAAGTACTCAGAGAAACGCTAGCTGAGCTTGCCAAAAATATCCCTTCACTCCACGCTTAACAGAAATCAAAGGGAGTTAACAAAGAATGAGCGTTTTGATTACTTCTTAGAGATGGAAACAAATGGGTTTCTCTTCATTTCTCCTTCCAAGAGTTAAGAGCTTAAAACAGAAAAGGCATGAGTATGCCCAACCTTTACTAGGTCAAACTGGCTTGGGAATGAGCAGGGAAAAGGTGGATGGTTAAGTGCATCCTGGTCTATAACTTCCTTAAAATCACAGCACAAAATGTCTTTAGGTTTCCTAAGTGGAACCCTCAGACAGGTGTAGGGGTGACCGCTGGTCAACAAGCACACAGTTTCAGTTAGGTAGGGGGAGTAAGCTCTGGTGCTCCATCACACAGCAGGGGAACTAATGAGTAAAACTGTACTAAGTATTCCAGGAGCTATAAAAGACAGGAGTTTCAATGTTCTTACCACAAAGAAATGACAAATATCTGAGTTGACAGATATGCTAATTAAGCTGATCTGATCTTTCCAAAATGTATATGAGTATCAACACATCATTACCTAATTCCCCAGAAGTATATACATTATTTGTCAATTAAAAAACAAAAACTCACTAAAACCCAAGTGGACTAATTGCTTGCTTGTGGCCAATGAGAAGAGGCCACAGTGTGGAACTGAACATTTTTGTTAGTGTTCTCTTCTCCCTTCAGGGATTTTTATGAACACTGGCAACACCGAAAAGCTGGATTTCATTCATAAGTGGCACAATTCAAGTCCTGCAGTGTCTCCGCCTGCATGAATTCACTGTCCCTGCTTCAGAACATGAAGGAAATTACTATGCTGAGTTTCACCCAACACCCAGCCGTATTTCAATGTTCAAACTTGATTAAAACTGGCTGTTTGACCAAGAAGAATCAAATTTCAATCAAATGGGTATGTTGTCTTTTTTTTTTTTTTTTTTTTTTTTTTAAGAAAAAGCAAAAGAAAAATCAGGATGGCCTAGGAAAAGGATTAACAGCATTTTATTAGAACTGAAAGCCACGAGATAAGCTGGTGTTTTGAACTTTTATTAAAACACAATCATTTAGATGAAGCTGAGTTATTATTAATTCTAGAATATTGGAAAGAAAATGTTTGATTTAAAGGAACATGGACTCATAAATCACGGAAGAATGGTGTCAGTACTGCATCCGGGAGACTGAGCACCAGGTAGTGCAGTATGGAAAGAAACTCTGGCAACAATTAGAGGGTCTTCTGACAGACAGTCAAGGGGCAGGCTGAGCGGGACTGTGAAATGAGATTCATCCCTTGGAAACTCAGGCTTCTTTACCAACCCCAGGTGCTTTTAATGGGAAGGAAGCATGAAAGAGCCTAAACAGCAGCAGAACTGGCTGCAAGGACAGCAGCTGTGGCAGGCAAATAGGCTGGTCAAGACCCAGTGCCCCACTAAGGACCCAGGGAGTGGATTATGCTGTTGCTGTGTGGCCAGTGAGCCATGCAGAGCCTCAGGGACTGCCTGCCTTCTTCGTGGAGTTCTGCTGAGAGACAGCGACGAGCACATCCTAATAGACTTCTCTCTACATCCAGTTTATTCACCTCTTCCCTGGCCTGGGAGAATGGAATCTGGACTCTCTGATTGACACTAGGCTGCTTAAACATGACTCAGTTCTGCATTCCCAAACACACAGGTCAAGTGCAGCTGAAGTCATGGAGAACAATGTTTAATATACCATGGGAACAGACAGAAAGGGCCGGCGCCGCAGCTCACTAGGCTAATCCTCCGCCTAGTGGCGCCGGCACACCGGGTTCTAGTCCCGGCTGGGGCGCCGGATTCTGTCCCGGTTGCCCCTCTTCCAGGCCAGCTCTCTGCTGTGGCCAGGGAGTGCAGTGGAGGATGGCCCAGGTGCTTGGGCCCTGCACCCCATGGGAGACCAGGAAAAGCACCTGGATCCTGGCTCCTGCCACCGGATCAGCGCGGTGCGCCGGCCGCAGCGCGCCGGCCACGGCGGCCATTGGAGGGTGAACCAACGGCAAAGGAAGACCTTTCTCTCTGTCTCTCTCTCTCACTGTCCACTCTGCCTGTCAAAAAAAAAAAATAAATTAATTAATTAAAAAAAATATACCATGGGAACAGACAGAAAGGACATGAAGCCCAATGAGATCCAGGGGAAAAGCATCAGGAAAAAAAGAAAGGAATAAATAATTCTTTTTTTTTTAAAGATTTATTTATTTATTTGAAAGGCAGAGTAACAGAGAAGTGGAGGCAGAGAGAGAGAGA